GACGTGTGGCGATATCTTAATGTTGTTTTAATTTGCATTTCCTTGATAATGTACGATGCTGAGCATAGTTTCGTGTGCTTATTTGACAACGGTATATCTTCTTCTGCTCAACGCACTGTTTTAAGATTTGAATGCGTACGGGTCGCTCCTGAGTTATTTCGTTAAGTGAATGTGATGAGTTTTTGAGGAATCCTCGAAGGAGAACCATCTTGAAAAAATGATCTCCTATTTCTGAGTGTCATATTTGAACTTTAAGAAGAGGCAAGAGAATGGTACAGCCACTTTGGAAAACAAGCTGGCAGTTCTTCCGAATGGTAAACACAACAGTTCTCCTTCTAGGTACATACCGAAGAGAGACATAAGCAGGTCACACAAAAACTTGTACGCGCATGATCCTAGTAGAATTACCCAATTGGATTGTTAGACCCAAATGCCGCCAATTAAGAAACGAATAAATAAAATGTGAAAGAAGCCAGTCACAAAAGGCCACGTCGTGTATGACTCCGTCCGTATGACATGAGAGAATAGGCAAATCCATAGATACATAAGTTAGTGATTTCCAGGGGCTAGAGGGAGAAGGGCAGTGGGGAGTGCCCACTAACGGGTACAGAGCTTCTTTATGGGGCAATGAAAATGTTCTGAAATCAGATAATGGTGATGGTTGCACAACTTTATGAATATGCTCAAGAAAACCACTGAATTATACCCTTTGAAAGGGTGGATTGTATGGTAAACAAATTATATCTCAACATAAAGTACTAATACATGTAAAGCTTCTTGGGGGGCGTGGTGGGAGGAGGGGACAGAAGAGCAAAAGTGTGCCTTTTGTCCTGTGCTTTCCACCAGGGTGAAATTTCACTATGGAGCCCATTCTGATAAAACTGGTAGGAAAGTAACATTGCAATTGGAAACACTAGCCTCAGTTCTATGATGCGGCCAGGTCATCAAAGAGAAATGTGGGCAACTTTCTTTTTATCCTGTATGTCCCTTGGCGGAAATCCTTGGCTGTTATTACAAATTCTATTTGTAGGGGCGCCTGGGTGGCGCAGTCGGTTAAGCGTCCGACTTCAGCCAGGTCACGATCTCGCGGTCCGTGAGTTCGAGCCCCGCGTCGGGCTCTGGGCTGATGGCTCGGAGCCTGGAGCCTGTTTCCGATTCTGTGTCTCCCTCTCTCTCTGCCCCTCCCCTGTTCATGCTCTGTCTCTCTCTCTGTCCCAAAAATAAATAAAAAAACGTTGAAAGAAAAATTAAAAAAAAAAAAATTCTATTTGTAGGTATGCACGTTACAGTTCCTGTGTTTTCAGTTCTCAGTAAAACAACGTCCATGCATTTTAGTCATTATGAATACCTGAATCTTTAAAGCTCATACTATTTTTTAATGTTAAATTAAAATTTGCCTGTTAAAATGGATAATGTGGTTGGAATTAGTCGAGCCAATTAGGTCATCAAATAGGATTCTAACTGATTAGGGTAAAAGATCAGATGGGTCAAAGGCTGGGAAGTATTATCTATGAGAAGATGTTGTTTTTGATTCCGAAGAAGTCATTTTATTCCTGCTTGTTCATGCCACATAAAGCCTACTGAATTATTTCTTTGATGTACAGATTACTTGTGAATGAAATGTCTTCCAGGAATATTAGAATTTTCGTGTGTTGTTCTGTTATATACTGTAGTCTCTTTGTGACTAAATAACCGATTTCTTCAGCTTTGTTATTTAAATAAGTGTACTTTGTTTCCAGTTAGTGCCTCCGACTCAGTTCCTCCTCAGATTTTCCATGTGCCAGTCCCCTGATGGTTGATTCTCTGAGAGTATATTTTCCCCGCTCAGTGGTCAAAAAGAGTGAATTCTTTACAGCATTTCCTGAGTGGTTTTCTCACTGCAGGTATACTTTTCTCTAACTAAACCTGATAAATCAAAATACTTAAGGAAGACCTGAAGTAAATATTATTTATTTTTCACAAACTGACATATTTTCTTTCTGAAACGGCTTTATTGAGATCTAATTCACCTACCATCCCATCCATCCGTTTAAAGTATACAATTTAATGGCTTCTGGCGCATTCACAGATATGTGCGACCATCATCACAGTCACTTTTAGAACATCTTTACACTTGAAAAAGAGACAGCATACCCTTTAGCCATCAACCACTCACACCCCTGCCCCACCTCCAGCAACTAATCTACTTTCTGTCTCTTTCGCTCTGCCTGTTGTCACATTTCATACGACTGGAATCATATACTGACTGGCTGCTTTCACATTACTTTATTAATACAATAAATCTTGTCAGAGTGTTTTATAATTTTAAAAAAGGGCCAATTCACTATGAAGATTTAACCATAATGAATATAGATGCACTTCATAACAAAGCACCAAGATACCTGAAGCAAAAACCGACAGAAATAAAGGGGGAAATGGACAATTCACCAGTAACTCTTGGAACTTCAGTACCCCATATTCTATAATGGTTAGGCCAGGGAAGCAGAATATCAACAGGAAACAGAAAACTTGAACAACAGTGTAAACCAACTACACCCAACAGATACCCATACGATACTTTACCCAGCAACAGCAGAACACAAATTCTTCTCACGTGCACAAGGAACATTCTCCTGAATAGATCATATGCTAGGCCATAAAAAAAACTCAATAAATTTTAAAGGATAGAGGTAATACATAGCACCTTCTCTGACTACAGTGGAATGAAAGTAGAAATCCAAACCATTTAAAAAGTGGGAAACTCAAAGCAATGTGGAAAGTAAACGGCCCACGCTGAAATAACCAATAGGTCAAAAGGGAGGTTGGAAAATACTTGGAGGTGAACGAGAGTGAAGATAGAACATATCAGAATGTCTGGGTTACAGGTAAAGCAGAGCTAGAGGGAACTTTAGCACCATCGATGGCTCTATTCAGAAAGAATATCTCAGATCAGTAATCGTACCTTCTCCTTAAGACACTGGAAAAGGAAAAGAACACGAAACTGTATGTAGATGGAAGAAAATAGTAGAGTACAAATTCATGAAATAGTAGAAAAGAAAGAGACTCTAAAACCTTTGAAACTTTACTGATTTCAATAATTGTCTTAAGCTTTTACAGAAGACATTAACCAGGATTATTTGTTTCTCATAAAGTAAATGACAGTTTCTTAATATTAAAAAGCATTCCATTTTCAACATGGCCTCCGTAAAGAGCTAGTCTTTGTGAAAATATCCAGGTGCTCTCTTTTTTTCAGTTGAGATGCAACCAAACCATGAGCCCATTTCAATCCCCAAGTCTTGAGAAATCTTGCCCCGATAAAGCGGTTTTCAGGGCAGTGATCAAACTCACATCTCATACCTTGTATGGCCACTTCCTGTGTGTGACATTGGACGAGTTGCTCAATCTCGTTGAAATTTATTTTCCTCAGTAGAGGTTAATTTTCTCATTCTAAAAGGAAGCGTGAGGTAACATACACCAAAGAGCCTAGTTCAATGCCTGGCCCATAGTAGGTACTTGATTAATATCTATTCCATAGTCATTTGATGACTTAAAAAGGGACAGCCCAATGACCCATATGGCATGGGTATAACGTATATGAATGTACTTGAAGGAGACCCGAACAAAAGGATGTCATATTGAATCGTACTATGAACCAGACTTTGGGCTAGTTATGGGATCTATGGTCGAATCGCATATAACTTGTTTGACAGTATGGACTAATTTCACTATTGTAACAACTGCTAAAACACTCATCGTGGGCAAAATACACACCTTGGCCTCCATCAGTTGCTTTAGCAATGGTTTTCATGGTCAAATATGTGAACCCTTCAAATGTGAAACCACTTATAGTTTAATCTTTGTTATTGGCGTAATAAATTCTAGCACTCGTGTCTTAGGTAAGCATACTTGTCCATTGTACAATTCTGTTGCCTGTTTCAGGCTACAAGATGGTGGCATTAAAACCTGGGAGTACATTTATGAGATGAGAGGCAACATCACTGATCAAGTTCTGTTTTTACTCCAAGCCTGTTTGGGCAGGCACATTTATGCTTATTCTGTTTATTGTGTGGTTGATGACTTTAAAATTGAATTATTTCCACCAGCAATACAAGCTTCAAGCCATGTTCCAGACTCGTGCTTCTCAAAACATGCATATGAATATGAATCACCTGGAGATCTTGTTAAAATGGAGATTCTGATGTATCAGGTGTAGAGTGGGGCCAGAGTCTACATTTCTAACAAGCTTGTGGGAGCAGCCAATGGTGCTGGTCCATGGACCACACTCTGAGCAGCAAGACTGTGGAACTGACGGGGTACCTAGGCAAGAGTCAGAAATGAGTAGAGCTATTCTGGCACTATCCATCACGGCCCCAATGGCCCGTTCATACTGTCTGAATTTAATCCACTTCCTTAGCTGAGCCCTGAAGTAAATTAATTAAAAATTCAATGACGACGAATAGCCGTGATTCTATTCTTACCTTCCACGTATTACAGTTATTTAAGACAGTAATAGAAAAATAACCTTGTCATGCGTTTTCTAGAGTTCCTTTGTATTGTCCGTTAGCCTGGCCACCTCTCAGGCCTCTTTATTTTGTAGCTCCTTGAATATCAAAAGTGGTGTATATGAGACATCTCCATTTCCATTCTCTAAAGCTCAGTACCTGTGTTGGCCCTTCCTTTGTCTGTGGCAAAGAACAATGAATGGAAACCACTTAAATCCCAGCAGGACTTTGTTACTAAATGAAAAGAGTCATAGGCAATTGTTTCCCTTAAACCCATGCCTGATTTTCTAATACCTTAAGTGAGCATTTATGGAAGCTTCCGGGGAGGCTCATTTCAGGTCCTTCGTCATTTAGATGAGAGTGCAGATTGAGTTTCTCCCCTGGAGTCCACAGGGTGTAGAACCCGGTTTTGTATGTAATTTGACAACAGAGGCATCATTTTAAGACGTGGCGAATTACATTCTTAATATGAAATAGATGTGGCTCGAAACATAATATGTGCCATCTGATTTGTTACAGAACGCAAAAATAGTCACAGTGAAGACAAGAGGAAAATGAGAACAAGAAAATGGGGAGAGAAGCGTAGCCTGGCTGACGATGTGGCGGTATTAAAAAGCAGCTTAGCAACAAAGGCTCTGCCTGCCTCTGGTAACAAGACGGACAGCACGAGGGAAAAGAGGACCCACAGAAGAACAAAACGTTTTTTATCCTACCCACGGTTTGTAGAAGTGATGGTGGTGGCAGACAACAAAATGGTTTTATACCACGGAGCAAACCTTCAGCACTATATTTTAACTTTAATGTCAATTGTAAGTACATTCAAAAGAAGGTGGTTTGTGAGGTCCTTAAATGTGCCTTTGGGAAATGGGTTTCCACCCAGTGCTGTGGAAGAGCCTTCTCAGGGCTGGCATTTCAACGATTCAGGCAAGTGACTGAAGAGAACCTAAGATTATGTATTGGTTGCCTTTCTGTCAGAACAATAAGGGCTACCGTCCTGAATGTTCATTCTGCTAGACAGTGTGCTTCATTGTGACAAGGTGGCATTTCTAATCCTCCTGGCAACTCTCCTAGGTAAGCTTATCACCCCCATTTTGCAGAGAAACTGAGCCTCAGAGGACTTAGGTCACTTGCCCGTGGTCAAGTAAAGCTGATCAGGGGCTTAGAGACTGCATGTGACCTGTAGAGTGTCCACGTCCCAAACCCAGTGCTCTTTGTGTGACATATAAACTTGCACAAGCGGGTTCGGGTCTCTCGTAAGACTTTTGAGTGCTTCTTGTGAATCAGAATCACCTTGGAGCTTTTTGACCTGCAGCTATGTGCCTCTGTCCCCTTCCCCAAGATTCGAATGAAATAGCCCTGGGATGAGGCCCTCAAATCTCTCCTCTGTATTTTCCTACTCTTGGTTTGAATCAAGAAATCAATAGGTTTGCATTATTAAAAAAAAAAAAAAAAAATCCAACAGAACCAAAGACTATTAATGAAAAGTAAGTGTCCTTCCCTACCCTGGTTCCTTCCCAGAGGCGACAACTATTAAAAGTTTTTTTTGCATATGTTTCTAACCAGCACTGCCCAATAGAAATATAATGCAAGCCACGTATGTATTTTTAAATTTTCTAGCCACTCTGTGAGGAAAGAAAAAAGTAAAATTAGTTTTAATAATGTATTTTATTTTCTATCAAAATACTATCGTTTCAAAACTTGCTAATGCAATACTTTACTTTTATATCATACTAAGTCTTCAAAATTCAATACGTGTTTTACACTCAACAGCACGTATCATTTTATTTTGTTATGTTTGTTTATTTTGAGACAGAGAGTGTGTGTGTGTGCCTGCAAGCAGGGAAGGGTAGAGAGGGGAGGGAGACAGAATCCCAAGCGGGCTCAGCAATGTCAGCGCAGAGCCTGATGCAGGACTCGAACTCAGGAATCATGAGATCACGACCAGAGCTGAGATAAAGAGTTGGACCCTGAACTGACTGAGCCACCCGGGCACCCCACATGTCATTTTCGATGAGCCACATTTCTAGTATTTAGTGGTCACATGTAGCAAATGGCTACCATATTGGACAACACAACTCTAGGTATTTCTTAGATGAGTATGTATGCATATGTATCTTTTTTTCAAACCAGAATGGAGTATTAATATACGGTGTTATACATATTATTCTTTTCTTTTAAAAATACTGGGAATTGTTCTTTAGCAGCCCATATAATCTCCCCTCATTCATTTTAAGACTCAACATAGCTTTTCTTCCAATGGACTGACCCTAAGTTATATAAACAAGAATGTACTTTTAATAAATTCCTCAAAAGAATAAGAAAAGCAGCCGTGTTTGGGAACTATGCTTTAGGATTTCTTCCTCTCTCGCCCTCGCCTCTGGTTCTCTTTGTCCTTCCCCTTACTGCTGTGAACCACTCCTTTGTCCTCCCCACCCCACACCTCAACCAGCCTCCCCTCTCCTCTCCCCTCTCACCCCTTCCCCACACTCAATCCCATGTGCCCCAGCCCCCTCCTGTCTTGGAGGAAGGAAAGGAGAACCTAATCAGCCTTCGCACTGAGTCAAGTCCATTTCCAACCTATACGTTCAGACCTTTCAGAAGAATTTCAGTTTTGAGCCCGGACTCTGGGTCAAATGGAGCCTGGCTCTGCTCCTCACCGCTGTCTAGTCTTGGAACAGTTACTTAATTTCTCTGAGCCTCAGTTTCCTTACTTGTTGCACAGAGATTATAATACCCAGCTCAGAGTTTTGCTGTGGGGACTAAATGCAAATGTGTGTGCAGTTTTCAGCAATCTGGTACACAACAGGCATTCAATGAATGTTAGCTCTCATAATTAATGATAATACTGGGGGAAAAAAAAAAACAGGTTACCAGCTTGTGAGGAACACAAATGGGAGGTAAACATGAAGAATGGCAATATTAGCAAACGCGTGGTCACTGTGAGATTCCATAATTGGGCAATCTGGGGCTTCAACTGGGATGAAAGAGTGATCAAAAATTAATATCCAGTGCTTTGGCACAGAAAACTTTTAAGTTGCGTAGCAATGCAGTTTCCAAGGAAAACACTGAAATTTAGACTTGTTAGGTTTCATTACCATCTGAAACTGCTGTCTGTGAATTTTTCAAAGAGAGTTTTAATACATGTTTGTTGAATGAATGCAAATTCAGAACTACCAAATGCATATGTTACGTGAAAACGTGGCAAGAGGTGGAGCCCAGCGTAAGAAGTGTATTGCTTATTGCTTACACAGAGTTCACAATTAACCTTGAAAAATTTATCTCGGTTGCAGGTAGCCTCTATCTATAAAGACCCAAGTATTGGAAATTTAATTAATATTGTTATTGTGAACTTAGTTGTGATTCATAATGAACAGGTAATAAAGTTTTTTTTCTTCTTTCTTGTATATGTATCCGAAATGGCATATCTAATTGGTGTCGGCACAATGGGCCAATCATAATTCTCTTCCGCATTTAGGAAGGACCTTCCATATCTTTTAACGCCCAGACAACATTAAGAAATTTTTGCCAGTGGCAGCACTCCAACTATCCAGGTGGAATCCAGCATGACACCGCTGTTCTCGTAACGAGGTATATGGATTTTTTTTTTAAGTTCATTTATTTTGAGAGAGAGAGAGCACAAGCAGGGGAGGGCCAGAGAGAAGGAGAGACAGAATCCCAAGCAGGCTCCGCACCATCAGCACAGAGCCTGATGCAGGGTTCAAACTCACAAACTGTGAGATCGTGACCTCAGCCGAGATCAAGAGTCAGACGATTAACCGACCACGCCACCCAGGCGCCCCTTAAATCTTCCAATTTGTAAATGGCAGCTACTAACTCAAAAATGTTTGAAGCGCCATGCAGGGCAACCAAGAGGGGCGCTGTCCTATCTGTATTTCTTGTTGGCCACCTTGGATATAGTCACAAACACTTACTCTTACAAGAACTGAAACGAAAGGCATCCAGAGCCTTCTCAGGAATGCTCCCAAAGGAACTAGAAGCACTCACGCCGCTGTGGGAGGGACAGTCCCAGTTGGAGAGGTTTTCACTTGCTCTGTGGCTACCCCTGTGGCAGAAGAAGACCGCTAGATGTAGCTTTTAATCTGGAAGTCACTGGCTCCCAAGCTTTTTTGAGTTGCAAACCCTCAGCCTTGTTGGCGTTTTGTAACCTCCTGCCCCGCAAGGTGGCTGCTGTTGTGAATGTCTAGGGGATTGGGAAGTGTTTTACTTGTGTTGACATTTACTCTTTGCTATTATCCTGGCCCTAAGTCTGCTTTGCTTTCAGACAGGATATCTGCAGAGCTCATGACAAATGTGACACCTTAGGTGAGTGTGCTCTGTGTATCCTCCGTGGCTTCAACAGTCTACCGCATGTTTTTATTCCAAGCCGCAGTTGCTTTTTAAAGCAATTCTCAGTCCTTCTTTCCTTCTTTTTTTTTCCCCCCTTTGAATAGGTCTTGCTGAACTGGGTACCATCTGTGATCCCTACCGAAGCTGTTCTATTAGTGAAGACAGTGGACTGAGCACGGCTTTCACAATAGCCCACGAGCTGGGCCATGTGTACGTTTCCTTTCCATGTTTCCATTTAATTCACAGTGACCTAACCCTTTTCTTCCTTGGCATCAGTGAGTATTCACTTGACTTCAGAGAGTGGAACGTACTCTTAGAGTCATAATAGAGATTTTAGGATTGAAGAGCCTTGGACCTAACTGGGAGAAACAACGTAGACTTTAGAAAGTTGAGTAATGCGGTGAACCCTCTTCAGCCATGGCTGACGTGTATCCTGGGTTCAAATGCGCATGTTTTCTGTGCACAATCTGATATTCTCCTTTCCTACTGGGAATTGGAGGAATGAGGCCTTTCCAGCCCATCCACTGAAGCTGAGGGTGTATTAGCTTAGGAAACTTTTGTGACGTAACATCTTTATCTGGAAGGGTCCGTCTCTCTTCCCCTGGTTCACGAGATTTTCGCAAATCCAGATCATTCCTGATCGTAGATATACAAGGCTGTCTTTCAGACATTTAGCCTCTAGGCACAATGACATCCCTTTTTTCAGGGAAGAGATTAAACAAAGATACAGAGAAGAAAACATTTCCTAACTATGGTCACTTAGTGGTTATTATGAAATTGGCCTTTCCTTTTTGTTCTTTAGAGACAAAGGATAGTTAGAACATGGGTGAAAGAGTGTAAATTTACGAGAAATTCTTCTGATTTTTGATCTGCATTGTTTTCTTTCTAGGATGAGTTACTTATGCTATATCTTTTAAAAATAATTTTTTCAAAAGATGTCACTGATGTAGTTGTGTATCACTTTGCATGTCATTGTTAACTTTGTTTAGAGGAAAAATAATCTATCAAGCAAGCTTTTTCATTCAACAATTTTTTTAATTTTTAATTTAAAACTTTTTTAATTAAAAAAAAATTATTTTTGAGAAAGAGAGAGAGCACGAGTTGGGGAGGGGCAGAGAGAGAGGGAGACACAGAATCCAAAGCAGACTCTAGGCTCCGAGCTGTCAGCACAGAGCCCGACACGGGTCTTGAACCCACAAACTATGAGATCATGATCTGAGCCGAAGTTGGACATTCAACGGACTGAGTCACCCAGGTGCCCCTCAACAAATGAGTTTTGAAGGCATGTATGCACAATGTGATATTCTAGAAGGGAAAGCAAGATGCATATGTAAAGCCATCTCCAATTTAGTTCAGCATATAATAGGTATATTTTAAAACTTTGAAGCATATTTTTAGAGCATGCCTGTTTTCTTTTCTCCAAAGGAAATATTGTCAGATGCTCAATATTTATAGCACAAAAGAGAAATGGCTTTCACTTAAGCAGATATGGTGAGCCAGAGTCCTTCTTAGTCCGCTTCCTCTTTATCTTTTTGGTTTCTGAGATATTTTTGTGAAACTCAAGGATTTCTTGGAACTCAGTTTAAAAACTGGTCCTACCGGGGCGCCTGGGTGGCGCAGTCGGTTAAGCGTCCGACTTCAGCCAGGTCACGATCTCATGGTCCGTGAGTTCGAGCCCCGCGTCAGGCTCTGGGCTGATGGCTCAGAGCCTGGAGCCTGTTTCCGATTCTGTGTCTCCCTCTCTCTCTGCCCCTCCCCCGTTCATGCTCTGTCTCTCTCTGTCCCAAAAATAAATAAACGTTGAAAAAAAAAATTTAAAAACTGGTCCTACCAACATTTCCCAATACAAGCGCTCCAACAATAATTCCAGGAGAATGCTCTGTGAAGGGGGGAAGGATTTTTATATTCAAATGATTTGAAACATTTTTTTTCTTCCCGGTAGAGCCCTGCTTGGAGTCACAAGGCTGAGTGACATAAAGTCAAGGCTCTGACAAGTCCTGTATTAAAGTAAACTGCTTAGTTTTGTTTAACTCTCTTTTCCCAAACTTATTTTAATAGAATCTTTTGGGGATTTTGTTTCTTTTGCATAAAGTCTAGTAATTGCTTTAGACCTTTAAATAGGAGGTATAGGTTTGGCCATGAAGAGTAGGGTGGCGTTTCAACAAGGCAGACCACAATGGGGGAAATTATAGAGATAGGAATGCATTCAAAAGGCAAGAGTTTTTGTGATTAACAATTCCCCCAATGTATGGTCAAGAGGCGTATACTATTTAAAGAAATATAATTAGTTTCCTGTTAATTCCTTCCTCACAAGAGCTTACAAACTCCATTTAGATAGTCAATTTACAAAGTTTGTATTTTAAGGAAAGTGAGAATTTTGATCAGCAAAACCTGAATACTTTCAGCTACAGAGGAGCCTCAGCTGTGTCAACTGTAGTCAACACACATCTCCCCCAACAAAAACCATGTTGTTGGCGTTGGCCTAGGAGCTTTTGACATGGTCTCCCTTAAACTTCATAATCCCCACATGGTGGATAGTGTTGTTTCCCTGTGTTTGACCTTGGCAATATTAAATTGCCTCAAGTTTAGTTGCTAATGTTGAGGTACCAACTTGTGACATTGGAACTAGGGAGCTGGGAGCCAGATACGCAAGTTCTGGACTAATTCTTTGACTTGAGAAAAATGTATGCTGTTTCCCTAACTATTAGATAGGGCTAAAACATATGCACCACATCTCTGAAGTGTTAAGAAGTTTAAAAAAAAAAAATGAAGTAATTGGTGAATGATGTGAGGTATTAGCGAAACAAAAGGTAGAGCTCTAGCCTTTTAGTGAATTCTTTCTGTTTTGGTGCTTTGTCTCATATAGTTAGGTTTGCTTATATTTTAAGGAAAATGAATATAATGAATATGTATATATATAATGAATAT